GACACGGGGTGTCTTGTATATAGATATGTATGTATGTGGAGGGACACGGGGTGTCTTGTATATAGATATGTATGTATGTGGAGGGACACGGGGTGTCTTGTATATAGATATGTATGTATGTGGAGGGACACGGGGTGTCTTGTATATAGATATGTATGTATGTGGAGGGACACGGGGTGTCTTGTATATAGATATGTATGTATGTGGAGGGACACGGGGTGTCTTGTATATAGATATGTATGTATGTGGAGGGACACGGGGTGTCTTGTATATAGATATGTATGTATGTGGAGGGACACGGGGTGTCTTGTATATAGATATGTATGTATGTGGAGGGACACGGGGTGTCTTGTATATAGATATGTATGTATGTGGAGGGGTACGGGGTGTCTTGTATATAGATATGTATGGATGTGGAGGGGTACAGGGGTGTCTTGTATATAGATATGTATGTGGAGGGATACTAGAGGGTGTCTTGTGTATAGATATGGGTGTATGTGTAGGGGTATGGGGATGTGTGTATTTAAAGATCTTCTGCAGAAAATAGTCCTAACTCTTTGTTTGCCCTACAAAAGCCTTTGTCTTCTATCCAGCCTGTCTCTTTATATCCTTCACCTTTAATTTCAACAGGAGGGGAATGTCTAACCACTGAAATTATTGCTACCCATCCTCTAAACAGTTACAGGGTTTTAGTAAGTGTCCCCTGTGAGCTTGTCGCTGGGGGTCAGAGAAGAACAAGACACGGTCTCTGCTCTCAAGGAGTGGAGCCTGGAAGACCAAGCACACAGGCGCAGCATCGACACCACGTGGGTTACATGCTCTTTAAAAGCTGGCTGTGCTCGGCACAGACCCCGTTCTACTGCTGCATAACAAATTGCTTCTAAAAACATACCTTTCTTAAAATCTCTCAGTGTCTGTGGGTGAAAACTTGGGCACAGTTTACCAGGTCCCTTGCCTGGGGCCTCACAAAGGAGCAAGCCAGGTGTTGGCTGGGCTGTTCCGGCATGTGGGTTACCCTCCATGCAGACATTACAGCGGGTCCCATAGCTGCACCTACAGGGACAAGACAGGTCCCACTTTCAGGTTGCCATCAGCGGGGACTGCTGTCAGGTCCCAGGAGCCACGACAGCTCCTTGCCGCGTAGCCCTCACAAGCCCTACAGGACATGGCAGCCTTCTTACAGCCAGCGGGGGACTCTGGCCCCGTCTGTGAGGACAGAGTCTTACATAACATAATCACGGAGTGACTATCCTATTGTCTTTGCCTTGTAACAAAGCTTAAGCAAAGGAGCGACGTCTGTCATCTTTGCCATCTCCTGTTGTTAGAAGCAAGTCACAGGTTCTACTCGTGCTCGGGAGAAGCAATTATGCAAGGGCAGGAGTCACCGAGGACCGTGGGAGGGCATGCCCCCATGCACATATCCTGTAGAATCCATCCCAGATTTATGTGCACCCCCAAAGGCAGGCAGGTGGGTGGAGTCTCGGAGTCTGGCTCAGGGCTCCTGTTTCTGACAAACTACTTCAGCCACAGGCTTCAGCTACATGTTTGTGGCCAATTAAAGGCAAAGTCATTCATACAAAGCGGTGGTTGTTGGCTAACATCATAGAACTAACGTTTGAGACTATACTGTTTTAGAAATTCTTCAGGTCCAGTTGTGGTGTGTCGGCGTGAGCAGTAAGGCACCACTCCTTGATTCTGGAGTCACATGAGAGGCCTGGGTTTGAATCCCTGGTCTACCTGAATGCTCTGGGTGTGCCTGTGCATGGCTGGCTGGGACGTTGTATTAAGGACTACAGCATGGCAAGATCCCATCAGAGATCTCTATCTCTCTCAGAACAAATAAACTTTTTTTTTTTTCAAGAGAGAGATTTTTGTTATAGGGAACATGTGCTCACCAGAAAGACAGAGAAAGACAGAAAGTGAGAAGTCACCCTCCGGGGGGAGGGCCACACTGCAATCCCTTCTCTTCCAATCTCTTCTCAGGATTTTGGGCACACACACACACATGCACCCAGCATGAGTTTCAAACCACTAGGTCTGGGACTTGAACCAGGGTCAGCCATGTGGGATGCCAACAATATAACCATTATGCCTTCTGCTGGTCCCCAAATAAACTTAAAAAAAAAAAATCCTTCAGCATGTGACTAAGCCATACCCTCTCCTCCACGTGGTCCTTCCTGACTCTCAGTACAAACACCAATGGATGCTGTCTCCAATTTTTGTTTAATGTTTATTGCTTCATATGAGGATACTTCAGAAAGTTTGGGAAAATGCAATCAAAGTACAAGCTTAATTTGTTATAAAAAAACCTTTAAATCCATGTGTAGTTTTTTTTATATTCTGAATTTACATTGCACTTTCTGAAGACTCTTTCAAAGTTCAGCAGCCTCATGCCTTTAGCATTGCAACTTCTACCTCAATGGAACAAAATATTTTACTTGACAGAGGCAGCTCCCCCCTAAGAAGGTTTCTAGTGCCAGGTGCTAAGGCAGGATGTCATGTTTTATCAAGCAAACAAGTCCAAAACATTTTTTCATATTCTGAATTTACATTGCACTTTCTGAAGACTCTTTCAAAGTTCAGCAGCCTCATGCCTTTAGCATTGCAACTTCTACCTCAATGGAACAAAATATTTTACTTGACAGAGGCAGCTCCCCCCTAAGAAGGTTTCTAGTGCCAGGTGCTAAGGCAGGATGTCATGTTTTATCAAGCAAACAAGTCCAAAACAATGACTGCTTGTGAGCATTGCTTGAGTAAAACTGCATTAGAGTGTCTGAGAGTCCCAGGAATGGAATCACACAAGGGAACTTGCTGAAAGAAGCTGTTGTCAGGGAAGGTTCTGGAGCTTGGATATGATCTGTGTTACCAAGAGGTTAGCAGGTGGGTGACAGGGGAAGTGGTATGAGCAGGCAGGGAGGAGGAGCATCAAGACAGGTGACACACAGGCTTGGAGAGAGCTTGGAGAGGCTGCCATTCAGCACGGCCTATCTGGAATAGGGAAGCAGTGGGAAAGTAATGAGGCTGTGAGGAGAGCAGGGTCAGATCATGAAAGGCCCACATGCCTTGCTTAGGGAGAAGATGGAATGGGGTTCTGTATCTGTGACCTTTGCACTTTCTGCACATGTGTATGTTGTTCATGATGCCCATAAGCCATGCTCCAAGTCAACACACATGTAATTGGAATGTCCTAGATAAACTGGGGCATGTTATTGGCTATAGCCAAGCCTAGAATAGCCTTCCAACCTCTTGGCCACAGCTTGCTAGATGCTTCTGGCTCTGTGCTCTCAAACCCTGTGCTGGTCACTTGGATCATAACTTCAACAACGCTTCTTATAATTCTCTGTCCTTTTCCCCTCCTCTGAACTAAGGGGTCCTTGAAAATGCAGATAAGTTTTATTCATGTTTGTATTCTTAAAACCAGTACTGTACTTGGGACAACAGAGGTACCCAGTAAATTGATACTGAATCACACACACACACAAAAATATAGCTAACCTGAAGGCAAATTATCTGCCAACCACTCTTCTTGGCCCCCGACATCGATTGTATCACTGAGTCACTGAGGACATAGGCATGTTTGTGGAATTCACTTTACAGATAAGGAGACCAAAACGTTGGCAAGTTGTGTAACTTGCCTAAGAATACACAAATCATAGAGGAGGAGGATTCTAATCCAGGTCTTATTCATGAATGAATAAAATAGTCATGAGAGCACTGGAGTTTGGACTTGCAGGCTTTTCTCCATGAGCAATTAAGTTTCCTGCACGATTCCCAGGGCCTGGCTGGCCAATGGTGGTAATGTGTGTATGTGAACACCATGATCCCCAACAGCACCCTGGACAATTTCTCACACTGTTATCTCCTGTGATCCTCACAATAGTTGTAACCTCTAGATAGATTTATTATTCCCATTCTTTGGATGAGATCACTGAGGTTCCCAACATCAACAAGCTGCTCAAAATCACCCAAAGAGCAACAGGGCCATGGAATCTTTGGACATCAAGCTCTGTGGTTACTGACACACACTTACCCTGAGAGTGATGATTCCTTCTGATGAATTTCTTTATCCCTCCAGTGGAAACGATCAGCTCTGCCTGGGGAGGTTGCTGTGAGGACGGGATATGTAAAGCTGCGAGTGCTGGGTACTCACTAAATGGTAGTGTTAGAGCTGGGGGTTGTACCCTTATCACACCGTTATCACCACAGAGAAGATTTGGGGCTCAGAGAGTGAATTTCAAGTAAAACGGCCAAGCACAGGAGAAAGTTGGGCATCTTGTTCAGGTTCCTAGGCAGAGTTGGAAACAGGGGATTTCAGCTCTGCAGATGAGCAAGTTGATAGGTCAGAGAATGCGATAAGGATCACCACGGGCCAGAGCTGGTGCTGGGTCCCAGCCAAGGGCAGGAGCAGTCTCTCTATACCTCTGTGTCACCACACCACGAGACAGATGGCTGTCTCTTCATCTGGACTGTGCGCTCCTGAGGATGGAATCAGTTTATCATCCTTGAATTCCAGATTTGTGATCCCAGTGGCTATCGTATTAACACTGATTGACATAATGAATGCATTAACAGAAGAGCAGGGATAGAGCCTAAGTAGGTTGGAGAGTTAGACTACCTAAAGTAGGAGAGCTTGGAGAATGTGCTCTCAAACCTCACCCCTGGACACCCAGAGAACTGATACCGACCACTGAGCCAAAGACTCTCAACAGAGAGGGAGAATTATTTTTCTTTGCTTTGCTCATATGTTCTCTCTCTCTTTCTCTCTCTCTCTCTCTCAACACACACACACACACACACACACACACACACATACACACACAGAGAGTTTATAAAGAGAATCATCTCAAAGGATTATTTGCAGTTTGTTCCAACCTAAGCAGGGGCATGAACTAGATGACCTCATTCTGAATTTTAAAGGACCACCATTCTGCATCTTCACTGTGGTGGTTCCTGCTCTTTCCAGCATTTCAGAAATGTTTCTGAAGCTCTCTGGTTGAAAGATGCTGTTTGCTTCAGTAGCCATGGACTGTGAAAAGGAGTTACGTTTACAGATGATGGCAGAAGCCCTCCAAGTTTATCAGTCTTTGGAATGCAATAATATTTTCTTTCTACCAAGAACATTTCTGTATGTTTTCTATCGTAGTCCTATGTGTGCAGAATATATTATTCATTCATTCATTTATTTTTGATTTACAAAAATTTGGGGTAATTTTTGGTCTTTCAGGATTACAGTTTCTCAGGGTTTGAATAAGATAATCTGGTTTAAATTCCTATTAGCTGTTTCTACTAACTCACTACCTCATTTTCCTTAACTGGAATCATAATTGCTACCTGCCTTATAGGTTGTCATGAAGGTTAATGGGGAGGAGGTGTAAAGCTTCCTCCTGGCTGACATATTCTCCATCTTTACCTACAGAGCAAACTAGAACTACAAGTTTCCTGTTCTCTTTCTTCTGCAGGTTTCTGATTGTCCTGGGGTGCTTGATCCTGGCTGTCCTGACTACATTCAAGGAGTACGAGACAGTCTCGGGAGACTGGCTTCTGTTACTGGTAAGACTGCTGATCTGCTGTGATGTGTGCTCTGGGCAGACAATGGCGGCGGGGCTTCCATGGCACCTAGGGTACCATTCTGCCTGAACAGCACTGGCTTCCTGGCATCTCTGGCCAAGTCTAGGCCCAAGAAATAGCAATGTCTCCGTCACTTGTGAGGCCTGCCCTGGCACAGGTGGAGTAAACAGTAGCCTTTCTAGTAAAGATTGGCTAATTCAGATGAGAGGTAAGGGAAAATAAACTAGATCAAAGTTGTATTTTAAAGTACAACCTCCCAGTCCTCTGAAAGCTACGCATAGGCATATGCGTTCTTAAGCTTGCCTCTGCTTTTCTGTCTCCCAGCCCCTAAGCCCTGAGGATCTCTTATTCTCTTCAAGACCAAGTACAAAATTCTATTGCGTGTAAAACATCCTTCCTTGAAGCTTCCATGTATTTTCACTCTCTGTTCTCCATTGGGTGGTGAGGAAGAGAGTGGGCTTAGGATTCTTGGACAAGTTGCTGAATGCTAGCCTGACTCAGTTTCCTCACGTCCTCACCTGAAGAAAACACGTGCGGCCAGGTGAGGAGCAAATGTTCCTGTGGGCTGGACCTCGGCCTCAAGGCCTGGCTTAGAGGAAGCTCCAGGAAAGGCTTGCTCCTTCTATGACCCTAGGACTGACAAGGCAGGCGGGCCCTTCAGTCTGGCACTCTTACCAGATTAGGTGTCAGCCCTGCCTGCCTCTTCAGGGCAATGCTGACTGCAGGAGTGGGGCCCCACCCAATCCTTCTTTCAGGGCAGAACTGCTAACCCCCTCGTTGACTTCATCACACACCAAACATGCAGCTATGACTCCAGAGCCAGCAGATGGCAATAGACGTTCATACTGCGTGGCCCATACTCGGACCTAAGTGCGTGAATATGGGAAGTCACCCAGTTCCAGGAACTAGGTTTTCAGGACACCTGTGGAACTGAACATCTCAGGGGTCCCAGAGCAGTCACAAAAGAGAGAGAGGCAAAGGTGTGAGTGTTGGATTGTCATGAGAAGGATGCTGTGTCCTGGGAAGCAGCATGATTTAGTGCTTATTCACATGGGCTCTGGAGCCTAATTACCTGAACTTGGGGTTCATTGCCTCAGGAAATCTGCTTAACCACTTCATGATTTGGTTTCACAAAATTTAAGATGAGGATACTATTATGAGTCCTTGGGGTGATGCTTGACACAGGAGCAATACCAGTGGCCGGGCAGTGGGTGAAATTAGTAGGTGGTGATTCGCTGACACTTCTCTTTTCAACCCAAATGCACTTCTTAGGGACTTTAGTTACACACACACACACACACACACACACACACACACACACACACAGCATCTTTTCTATAGGATACATGTGCTTGCCAGAGAGAGATGAGGTTCAAGTAGTGAGAAATCATCCTACGGATGGGACAGCCATGCCATAAACCTTCTCTACCATTCTCCTCAGGGGATGCTGGTCACACATATCCACACATACATACCCAGTGTGTGCTTTTGAAGCCACCAGGTTCAGGGCTCTAACTGCAAAGTTAGCCACATGGGACCCAGCTGCCTTAACTACCACACCAGTGGCTGGCCCTTAGTGTATTAAAGGTACTTTACGAAGCAATGATTTATTGGAGCAAAACCACAGAAAAACAGAATAAAGGATCACGTGCATATCAGGGACAGTCAGCACCTCAGAACGAAGGAGCCCTCCCAAACTGAATGGAGGTGACGACTGTGTTCTCCTCCTCCCCACCCCTAGCCTCCTCCACCACCAAAACTAGAGACAACAGAAACCCAGTCTTCAGGTCCTCGGAGCAGAAACCGCTCATCCTAGTTCAGACAGTTGGGGCCCAGCTAACATATGCTCTTCTGTGCAGGAAACATTTGCTATTTTCATCTTTGGAGCTGAGTTTGCTTTGAGGATCTGGGCTGCCGGGTGTTGCTGCCGATACAAAGGCTGGCGGGGACGACTGAAGTTTGCCAGGAAGCCCCTGTGCATGTTGGGTAAGCCCTGACCCTGAGACTAGTGGTCTCCTCAGTCCTCTTTCGGTGCTGTTTCTCTGAGGAAATTTGAAGCAGCTCTTCTGGGAAAGCACATGCATTGTGGAGGCCAACTCAGTCTCTGCCCCTGACCCAGGGAGGAGCAGCCTTTAGGGTGCTGAAATTCCTTTCTGTGGCCTTTCCTCATAGTGACTGTGCAGAGCAGTGACTCTCAATTGGGGATAAACTTGGGTGGTAAAGGAGCCAGCAGGCTGCAGGGTGGTGAGCCTTCCCAGTCTCCAGACTAGTAGCCCAGTCATCAGGTTAACCAAAAGTATCCTACATTTCCAAGCCGGCTGGGGTGAGTGTGACACCATTGCAGTTAAGAAGGTAGTTTTTTGTTTTTTCCAAAGAATTTGTTTAATTTCTTTTATCATTATAATAATAATAATAATTAATTTGCAGAGAAAAAGAGGGAAAGTGAGAAAGCAAGCTGCCAAGTCTAGGACTTGAACTGTTGCCAACCATGTAGGAATCCAATGCCTCAACCATCATGTTACCTGCTGGCCCCAAGAAGTTCGTTTTGTGGGACTACATTAGGCCCATGTTCCATAGGTAGAAATGGACTCACCGAGCTGAGTCACTTTCCAGTCACATGGGTGCTAGGCAGCCAATTCCATCCTAATACCCAGGTCTGGGGGAATCGAGCACCACAATCTCTCCCACCACCATCTTCCTTATCTCTTGATCCAGATGTTGCTTCTGAGAGGCATCACAGGACTCTTTCCATTGGCTGTAGGCATCTTGATAGAAGAGCAGGTGGAAGTCCTCACAACCTGGTGCAGTTTAGACTTACGTGTTCCCATCTACTAAAACCCATGTAGTGACAAGACAATGGCTCACTGACCAAGAGTTGGGTGTCTTGGTGCTTTGAATCCCTGAGAAGGCTGAAAGTTCAGGACCACAGGATGTCAGGATTGGTTGGATCTCCAAAGATAGTTAGTCCAAGGTGCTCTCCTGTCTCATGCTCCAGCACCCTCCATGGTAGCTTTAAGTGGTCCCCCAGATGCTGCTTGCAAGCCCCCAGTCAGAGTGCTCATGACCTATCAAGATATTTATCCCATCTTAACTCCACAAATTCTCCTCAGGTATTTGAGTCTAGCCATGCCGTTCCTCCTTCCTCCTCCAGCAGTTTGCTTTTACCCAGGAGAAGTGTGGTTAGTGGATGCACCTACACTCTATGCCATGTGCTCTCAGCTTCCCAGTTACTGTGCTCTGGGCACACTACTCATTCTCCACTTGTAGAGAGGACTGTATAAAGTCCTACAAGCATGTATGGCCAGCCCACAATTTTGGAGGACTTGGCTTACCACAGAGTTCATATTTCTTTCTTCTCCCTTCCTTTACCCTCTTCCTAAGTTTACTCCCACTTTCCTTTTCTTCCTCTCTCCTTTCCTTCCTTCCAAGGCTTTTGTAAGTGCGATGATAATAAGGCCTCTTTTTCTTCTTTGGAGTGACCCAAGGCAGAGCTTCTGTGTATGTGCTGCAGGAAGAGGATGGTGAGGGAGTGTCCCCAGATTCAAAGAGATTCCTGCCCAGTTTGAGAATGCCCTGGAATATAGATCCTGGAACCCTCCAGGACAGGTGCACTCCCCATGGAGCAGGCTGCATTATTCCAGGATGGGCTGCAGTAATGGGTTCTAGGCCACCATCCTGCCTTCCCTGGAGTGATAGGGCTGGACTCAGAATCACACTATTCCT